TTATGTCGTCTGTGTGCGCATATGGATGTGCCAATATATGCCTGATACAAATAATCACGTCTTTGTACGTGTATTTTAGGTATGTACAAGGGCAGCACGATTAGTCCCTATATGTTCATACGTGAAACTATGAAGCATGTGTTATATATATATTTTTACGTATGTGCTCACCATCCATGCTCACAAACACGGTGTAGTCCTAATTAACGGCGGCACAATGTACCGAACTCTCTCCTGCTGAATTGCAGTACGCGCTGCGTGATGTGAAGCTTTCGATCAGCAGGACCACTGGGGAGATCCGACTGTACAATATGGAAGAGAAGGAAATTGGGCTTATCTTTCCTCACAAGGTATATGCATCACTTGAGTGTGGGCTGTGGGTGTGGTGTGCGTAGGAAGGTTTAGGGTTTAGGGTGGTATGTGCGGAAGGATGCGTGGGGGGGTATCTGAGTAGGAAGCAGATGTGTGGTGATATAGGCAACATTGTCATTTCGATGGATCTACGCATGTAGATCACATGTGTACACAACAATCAGCACTACAGGTCGGTTGAGGTGCGTGTATTTGTATATCCGTTGCCCGTGCATACGTATGTCCTTGCATACATATGTCCTTGCATACGCATGTCCTTGCATACGTATGTCCTTGCATACGTATGTCCTTGCACACGTGCTCGATCTCCAGGTGTCATTCCCACGTGCGGAGCGCGTGCCTATGTTTAGCCACGCACTCATACCTACAGATGGATTGTTTATTTGTAAACTTAAAGAGTATGGACACCAGAGCAAACCATGCATGCCAGAACACCCCAGATACACTCGGAAGCAGCAAGCATACTACTTAGTTGCCTATTGTCTCTGTCCCCAAATTCCAACATGTATTGTGCGAGTTCCATAGCCACGCACAATCCTCTCGCGCATGCATGGTTTATCACCTTATACTTACCTAGGATGCCACGTTTCATATCGGAGCTCTCGAGAGTTCATTATAGTATGGTCCCGAGCAGTACTATCAGTATGCAGCCAGATGTATGTGGGCCAGCCAACATGAGTGTAGGAGGTTTGTCGGATGGGTACTATAAGTGGGACCTAACAGTCCGTGAGAGGACTTGGTTTGATTGTTCCGATATCTTCGGATGTCTTGGTAGAAGTCTGTATGCGCGGGTGACTATACCCAGTCAAGTAGGTGTACATTCTCAGATGTTCAGGCGCATGGGACCGGATCGGTTGAGTTGTTCGTCAGATAATTAAGTTCGTCAGATAATTAAGACAGTACGGACCTTTTTTTTTCCCCAGGTGCGCAAGTTATCCAGCACACCGGCGACGGTTACCTTTCACTTCAAGGACAAAAAGAAAATGCTTCTGTACACACCTGAGGGGGACGTGGTAAGTGCTTCTCCAAGCTTACAGTAGGGTTTTAGGATTCAGGGTTAAAATCGGTGTATCATGTTTGTTATCATGTTTGTATCGTGGGCTCACAAGGGGCGCACTGTACGTGTTGTGGTGATTTATCGACTATCTTCAGATATTTGGTAGGTGTAGGAGTAAACTCGGAGTACTCCGAGTTCTCACAGAGTGGAGCAATGATCATGAAGTGACCGCTTGCAAATGTGTACTGCGGTGTCTGCGCATGCAATCACAATCCCGATAGAGAACACGTGGCAGATGTGTTTCGGCATGTAGTAAGAAGTTATTTCTTGGCATACACGTGCGTACAAGTATCACACATGGAAGCGGCTGATCATAACTCGCAGTGAAACGCGGTTTATTTCATACGTAGAAATTAACACAACCTTCTAAATTGAACCAAATATGTTGCCGAATACAATGCGGTCACAGGCGCGGTATGGCTTAGATATGAAGTCTTTGTCTAGTGGGCAACCTCTCGTACTGTATTGATACAAGTACACACTTCACAAACAAAATCACTGCTACTGCACAGGTGTAAGTATATAACTAACAAGCAATCGACCTATCATCTCGAGTGCAGATCGAAGATCGCATCACTGTGATTCTGAAGAGCCTGGGCCACTATATCGAGGTGGACCAGAAGGGCCCGTCAAACATAATAGATCTGCCGTTCGGGCTGAGGTGAAAGCCTGAGGTCTTTGTCCTTCCTTTGCCAGCGGTGGTCAAGTCATCTGTAGGCTGTTCTCCGACTTGGAAGCCCCACCCAACACTTGCCATCAAAAGGTATACACAGATAGGCTTACCACATTCCGTTGGTATCGATACTGATGCACAAGTAGCAAGCCACGCCCCACGGCCGTGTGTATCAGGATTTGTATACGTCAAACGGCGTAGGTACACCATACGTGCACTTCAACTGGCGTTGGTATATAGACGTGCAGCCGCTTCTGAGCTTGTGCCTGTACTCGTGTCTGGGTGTGCGCTGTAGGCTTAGACTGCACCTGTGCCTAAGTTCGGGTCTGTGTTTGTACTACATAGCCGGAGGCTGCGTAGCCACCAAAGTTTGGTTTATTTTAACAACAGTGCGGGCGAACATGCTTATAGAGGTACCACAGGACACTTACATGTTGCTATCACCCGTGATCGCACCTGCAGACGCCTGTTGGAAGGTTATCTGCAATCAGTCTATACTATTTAGAGAAGATATTGGGGTCGTGAGTGTCAGTATCCAATGGATTAATCGGGATGGTTGTCGTTTCTATCCTGATTTAATGCAACATCTAATACAGAATGGCTCACGATCAGTTAGTAAAGAGGGTCGGATTTCTTCTAAAACACAGAGAAATCCAGATCAAGCGAATTACCACACAGTTATATAGGACCTTTCTTTGAAGCACAACGTGCTGAACATGGTGGTACTTTTCACTCACAGGAATAAAATACAATGATATTTTGAACCGACTGTCGCACCGACTAAGGGTTGTTGTCAATGTCGGACCATTGCGTTATGAATAACGTATCACTAGCTTGTAAACTGTGTATTTAAAATTGCAAAGAACGCTCTGAGTTTGTTCACTCTATTCTCGATGGTCACAGACTACTTGATTTTCCTATAGTATAACATACTTTCAATCTGCTCCAGCACACGTTCCCGTAGGCAGCGAATAAATTCAATCGTGCATCTCTTAGCGCGGAAAATCTCACGGTTTGCGTGTGGGCGTATCTCGGCTAGATGCCCCTGCGAGTGCGATAGTGGCGTCTAAACACCTTGTCCGCTCAACTCAAGACCATTTAAATCTCCAGTGATTTGCGAACTATTTTGAAGAACGCCTTCTTGTTGTGCGGGAACAGAAGTTGCTTCCCATCGGCCGGTAGGTACACGTTGAGCAACACAAGTACCTAACGCAGCAGATGCACATAACTCGACTTGGGCTTGCAGCAAGGTGTCGCTCCAAATCCGGCCTGTCCTTCCGCCTCGATGGCTCAACTTGCGTCGCATTACAGAGACATACATAGTACATGTGTATATATGAAATCTTTAGCACGCACCAACAATGAAAACAAGTTGTTGTTGTTTAGTAATATACACAGTGCTTATATATACATAGACCTATTCACAGCGTATTATTTTACAGAAAAACAACACCAACAAATATGCGAAGCTATGCAGGCCTTTGTTTTCACAAAATTTACTGATTTTTTTATTTGTATTTTATGCCAGTCAGGATGTAAATGATACATATTTATCGTCCAGCTCCGGCAATCGCCTCTTGCGCAGGAGCAATTCCAGCATCGATGGCAGCTTCTGTGCAGGTCTGTACATCATCTGTTCCACAGCATGCGGCAACGGGATCAACCAAGTTAGTCTGTAGTTCCAAAGCTAGGCCTTCACTGTTGTATCCCGCGTTGCACGCGGCTGTTGCGGCGCAATCTGCCTCACCATAGCAATCCTCCACAGCTGCAGTAACACTGCCAAGCAATATAGTGATTGTCGAGACGTAGGAAGCGGCAGGGTAAGCATTAGCAAAGGCTTCAAGTCTCCGTAGATATCGTTAATATCATCGATGGCCAGCTTTTCGATGCACTCCACGGTGTTAGCTCCGTCTTCATAGCAACCAGTAGAGATAGCATCGGCCTTAAAGTCCGCGATGGGATCTCCAATAATGGCTGCCGCCTGACGGGCAGAGACAGATACGGCTACGGCAGCGACGACGAGAGCTTGGAACTTCATATTTGCGATTGTAAGCTTGATTTTTAAATGAGGCTGAGTATGAGTGGTGTATGCCCACGACGGTATGATTTTATACTAAAATCGAATCTGGCTCGGACATACAGTTTGAAAAGGGATGTTTTGGTCAGCTCGATTTGCGGTTTTGGCTACCAATTTAAAGCAATGCAAAGGATTTTGTCCTAAATTGGGCATCAATTGATTAAAATGATCAAATGGAAATGGTTACAAAGTAGAGATAGTCAGCAGGGCAGCACGATTTCCTCACGAAGCCGGTTATCGGAGTAGAAAGAATAGGTCGCAAACTTACAAACTTATTCTACTGGACCAATTCAGTTTATCGATTAACATTCAAGTCATCAGTCATAGCGTTCTTAGTAATAGTAAATGAACAGATCAGTGTCACGGCGACAGGCGAGTCTGTGAGCAGTGGTCAGTGGTGCACACTGCACAGTTCGCAGTTCCTCAGTCCCCACAGTCATTCTTTCCAGTATCCGATTTCCTCCTACATGCGGCAAAGTACTTTTTGAAGTATTTGTACATTTATAAATATGCGTATAGTTTTTATTCTTATGATTTTATTGAAACTTTTTATTGCAGTTTCACTCCATTCCGAAGGATATGGAATGCGTAGTTGTAAAGTATAAAGATAGCATGTAGTCTCTCTCTCCCTGCTAGAGTAGAATACAGTATGTACTGGTACCACTACCATGCATCATGCATGTAGTCTCTCTCTCCCTGCTAGAGTAGAATACAGTATGTACTGGTACCACTACCATGCATCATGCATGTAGTCTCTCTCTCCCTGCTAGAGTAGAATACAGTATGTACTGGTACCACTACCATGCATCATGCATGTAGTCTCTCTCTCCCTGCTAGAGTAGAGTAGAGTATAGGATGTAGTAGAGATAGATATATTTATAAAAAATATACAGAGAATTATAGATAAATAGAAGTGAAATTCGAACTCTGAAGGACAAAATATTTCTCTAAAATATTTATGTGGATTATTATCCCGACAGCCCCCTCTATCGGGCCTATGAATGAGCCTATGAGGCCAAATAATCCCGTGAAGCGGGTGCCCGTGACAAATATTTTGTATGTAGTCATCCGTGAGTCGAACCGTGACCCAGAAGCGAAGAATATGTAGGAACGGCCGGGCACACATCGCCTAGAAGTGAAACTAGTAGTAGAATATCATATCATCGATATAAGATAAGCACCTCGTGCAAAATGTGGAATACGATAAAGCTGGGAGTGTGCACGTTCATCAATATGTTTTGCTACATGTCGATAACAAACATATGTATGTCCATGTGTGCATGTGAACTACAAATTTCGCGTGTATCTATCTTTTATGACAAAATATGTATCCACATCTTAGACAACGTAAATAACGAACTACAACTGTCAACTGTACCTATATCCTCAACATTCAAGGAAGTATCAAACTTCCAGCGTTTGACATCGCTTTGCCACAGCGCCTATGACTCATGAAGAGTTCTAGGAGAATAGCTTGGCACAATGCTAGTACACTCTCACTTTGTATAGCCGTACAGCATCATTATAATTTGTCGAGAGTCTATGTAAGAGAAGCTTTCTCACACAGGGATACTCCTCGTTACTGAATGAACTGACACGCTACATTGTATGCCTTATAGTCGTTCGTCCCTGTTGCTAATGTGCGCTCCGTCCCATAAATAGCATGAATACCAGATTTATACCCAGCTTGCATGCTCTATCTTTTTTCTGGTACATGCCTTGAATTTAGAAACGAGGTGAATTATATATGTATATATATAATTT